AAACATCAGCGTGACAGAGTCCCACAGGCAACAAGGCTTTCTTTGTCCATCCACCGTGCAATAAAGCGTATTGCTGTTCTCCATCTCACTGCAAGGAGTGAGGATGGTATGTACCCGTCAGAGGCACAGCACATTGTGTTTGCCACAGCTTCTGATTCATGCGAGGAACGGACATACCCTCAGAGCAAACCAAAACCAGCTGAAAGATGTTGATTTTTTATTTTTTTTTCCTATTTACTGCTGCATTTCAAAACTTCAAGGAGGAGGAAGAACGAACAGAGAGCTCAAGTGAGCTTTGGTGGAGCGCTCCTCCCTGAGCTATTTGGGCTTGTGGTGCATCTGCCCAGCAGTTAGTGTGCTGTCTGTTTGTGTTCAAGCCATTCTGGCTGCAACGACCTCTTTTTTTGGGGCCCTTGTTACTGGGCGAGAGGTGGAGGAATGCAAAGCAAAGGCCAGGGAGAGCCCCCGCCAGCGAGGGCCTCCGGGGCTGCTGCTATTGCTCCAAGCTCTGGTGCAGGCTGCTGCTGCTGGAGATAAATGACACCCCCGGTTCGACACGGGGACTCTCTGCCAAGACAAGCAGTCAAACAAACAGCCGGGCTGGGCTTGTCCCTACAGAAGAGAGGCTGCAAAATAAGCCTGGAGACAAGTGGTCACCCGGTGCCGGTGTCCCCTGCAGATGGACTTTGTATTTCCTGGCAAGACAGTGCCACATACCCTTGTCCCAATCTCAGCTCTGTCATCCCCAGTGCCTCTTTCCTGAAACATCTGCCAGCATTGCCACCACGGGGAACCTGAACCCATAAGGTGCCCAGGGCAGCATTATTGAGCAGTGGGATATCCCTGTGAGTTTTTGGTTGGCAGGGGGGTTGTTTTCACCCTGGTCTGACTCAGAGTGCACCTTTTGGGGTGATGGGACAGTGAGGAGGTGCAAGTGAGGGGATAATAAGGAGTTCCTAAGGCCAGTGCTGCTATCAAAGAAAAGGCACATGGAGCTCGTCTTCTGCATAAGGGAGATCCCTCTGGCCTGGCCCACCTCTGCTAGCATCCGTTCATCTGAGGAAACGAAGGCCAGTGATCTATCAGACACAAAAGGAATAGCCATCTCTCAAGGATACATCCCTGCCTCTATGTCAACACAGACAATTACATCATTGTATTCAGTTGTGAGGCACAGAAGAGTTTGAAAATGCCTACAAGATCCTGATTTTTCTAGGCTTAACCCTATGCGCTTACTAGTAGTAGATACTACTACTAAATAGTAGTATCTCTGTACCAAAACTTACTGGCATAACATCTTCACTTTGTGCCAAAGTATCTTTGGGGCCACAGGGGTTGCACAAGTGTAACCTTTCATTCCTGTTTCTCCATTAGTTTGTTCCTCTACTAACCCTGCTGGCCCACGTGCCAGGTCTGAGGTTAGAGTAATTAGTCCTGGCTGTGCTTGCAGGGTTTTCTTTAGCACAGTTGCACCATTAGATTTCTATCAGTGTGAGTTCCTCTGTCAGAAGAGGCTGAAAAAAAATAATAATGTATGTCCAGTTGTTAAAATCACTGTAGAAGAAATATTGGTAAATTTATGCTAGTAAATTAATTCTAAGTGATAGCATGCACTCTTTTACCTGCATTTTATGCTGGTAAAGAGACAACAAACAGAACTGCCTCATCTGTCCTTTATTGCCACAGGGCTTTCTATCTCACCTCAACACAAACTTTCTGATGAAACACACAGCTGGGACAGACCAGCAGATCAGCCCAGTGAGAGAGCATGATGCACACCAACGCACCAAGGAAACAAGAGGAAACAGCCCTATCATCTTAACCCTTTTCTTAGAGCACAGTAGGCAGAGGCACTACATAATCTGGGAAGTTTTCCAGACTCTCTCTCAATTTTTATTTTTTTTTTTTTAAGTTCATGACACACAGCAGGAAGCAGGATGCTTTAAGCTACTGTGGCATCACATGCTGTTCAGGTGAGGTGCTGTGAATGTGGATGAATATTGAACAGATCAGGTTCTCCATGCTTTTTATTTTCGAGGTCTGGCACTATCAAAGCAGTGGTCAGCCTGGACTGATGATCAACATTAGTAAGTCCCTTCGGGACTCAGCAGTAGCACAAAATGGTGTAAATCCACCCCAGACTCCCAAGAAAGCCTACTGCCATCGGCTGGAAGAGAAAATGTGATAGCTCCCAGTGAAACCAACGCTATATGGGGTGGTTTGTCCCAGACATTCATATGCAAGTTTCCTTTGTCACTATTTAATAAAACATCAAGAAAGGATTCTTCCACCAATACCAAATTCAATACAGCTGTGCCATGGAAAAGACTCAGCACTTGTGCAGCTCCCATTTTCTCAGTTCATCTGAGAAACATCTCAGATTAATGTTCTGGTAGGACAGGGACAAGCGCTGGGGACTCTTCTGTTGACTTCTATCACTGTCTGTGAGCCAATAAAATCAATGGGGGTTTCATCACAAAGCCAGATCGGACCCTTGATACATGCCCTTGAGAACATTGCTGCCTTCTTAGTGCCTCACCCTGAAAATTATTACCCTTGTCTTTATTGAGCTCCTATATTTAATTAATAGCTGAGAAGTATCTGGAGAAGGTTGAAGTAGGCAAATTATGCAACTTAACTCCAAGTCTGATGATTAGTATCACCTTTCCCAGACTACAGTCTCTCTTTGATATGGGCAACAAGAGCAAGAAAGATGCTGACAGTGGTGACATTGGTTTTGGCTCTAGCTGATAGAACGTATAGTCATCTCATATCTCACAATCCAAATTACACCAGCAGATTTACTCTGGATTCACACTAGTGTAACTGGAAGAGGTAGTTAGACCACAAAAAGCTATACTAAATGGGGGTTAAAGCAAGGATTAGGAAAAAAAAAAAGTATGAAAAAGGTGAGTCTCAGCAGCAAAGTGTGAAGGAGCTGGATCTCGAGCTGTTGCAAAGTATAGAGCAAACAGTGATCTGGCCCAACAACCAGAATTTCTGAGTCTTCAACAGCTGTTCTCTGTATTAGAAGGAGGAGCCAACAACCTGATGAGAAGAGAGAAGCAGGGTTGGGCTCTGGTCCCTACACAGATGAGGATGAGCAGAATAAAATATGAGACTTGGAGAGCCACGCAGATCCTGCATCACCAGAAAGGCAGCAGTAGCATTAAAGGGAGGATGAAGGAAACAGCCTAGGGAAGCTTTGCCATGAACAACCATGAAATTATGTCAAGCAACCTACAAACAGTCTCAGGGAGAACCTAAATAACAAGACTTTTCTGGTCTCCCTCCCTTCCCCTTCGTGTCCCCTCTTAATCCAGAGTGACCTTAGCAAAACAGCATAGTTGAGCTCCACCTAATTCCATCTGAGGATAACTTACCTCCTCCCTATGCTGTTTCCAGTTCCTTACTTGCCTTGTGCCATGTGTGTCTTTTATACTCTTATCTCTGCCCTGTACCACAGCAGGAGTGAGCAGGGAAAGGAAAAACGTTAACCTTCTCCTTGATAAGCAGAACATGACTGGTATGAGAGGGAGCACAATACCTTTGCTTGCCACTGAATCAGGCAAGAAGAGGAAAAGCTGCCATTTGCATGTCACTGTCCCGATTTCCAAAGGGGGAAAAAAAAAAATCATAAAGGAGAATATGCTCCTCACTACCATCAATCCTGCAACTTAACTGAACTTTAGCAAAATATTTGCTGGGTTATGTAACAGAAGTGGATTACAACAGCCTGCCACATGGCTGAAAACTGCAGCTTTAACCCCTGGACAGACTGCCGTGTGATAGGTAAAGATAAGAAACATCATAGGGTTGTAAGAATAGTCAAGCTCAGACAAACCCCTAAAATATGATTTGAGGGTCCATCTGATAGAACTGCACTAAATACGTCAGGCCATTTCTCTCTTAATCTTCTTAGCTAGGCATGACCTTTCTGTCTTTCTCCTCACCTCTTCTCCTGAAGTCTCAGAGCAGTTCCTCCCACTCCACAGGTACCTCTTGCTCAGGCTTCCCACCTTTTCTGGCTGCAGAGGACCACTCAGCAATGTTCCCTTACAACAAGTGAGCTTGTAGTGTCATTCTCTCTTTATATCCCAGGTACCCCTCTTGCAACTGCAGGTGTTGCTAATTATCATAGAATGGTTCAGGTTGGAAGGGACCTTAAAGAATATCTAGTTCTTACCCTCCCTGCTATAGGCAAGGACATCTCCCACCAGACCAGGTTGCTCAAAGCCCCATCCAGCCTGACCTTGAACATCTCCAGGGATGGGGCATCCACAGCTTCTTTGGGCAACATGTTCTAGTGCCTCGCTACCCTCATAGTGAAGAATTTCTTCCTTATTTCTAATCTAAGTGTACTGTCCTTCAGTTTAAAGCCATTACCCCTTGTCCTATCACAATGTGCCCTTGTAAAAAGTCCCTCCCTATTACCTTGAGTGATCCGTGCCAGGACTGAGAGCAAAGACAGAGTAGTTTTGGCTACAGGGCACTGCAGAAGCCAAGGCACAAACCCTACCATGGTCGTTAATCCCAAGCTACCATGTCTTCTCTGATGTTGTTATGGGCATCACCTGGGTGAATCTGCCATAGGCAGAGTAGCACCTTCATTTCTCAGTGTAACTACAGCCTAGGCTTTAAAGCCTCCTTACATGTGATCAGTTATTATTTGGGCAGCACTTAAAAACTGGAGAAGCTGAGTATTGTAGCTAATTAACTGAGCCAGAAAGACACAAAGAATGTTTGAAACAGACGAGAAAACAAACAAAGTCTTGGCAAGCGTTCAGAGGCGAGGCAGACTGGCTGCAATTTGCTGCTCAACACGCAGAGAGGCTCGTGAAGGCTCCCAAAAACATGGGCAAAGGGAGTTGCCTTTGGGAAGACCCAGCGGTGAAGGGCTCACATGATGCGAGGCGGGGTTTGGAGCTGGAGCCACCCCACCCACCCCACCCTGGGACCTGGGCCCATGAATGACCCAGAGCACCTCATTCATCACGGTGAGGACGGCTGGTAGCCAGGAGACCAGGACTGAGACCTGCTCACAACTTCCAGGTAGGAGCTTGCTTCTTGCAGCACATCTTCTCATTGCCATGCCTTGCCTCGTGCTGCCTTGCAGGTGTGCAGGAGGAGAGGGTCCTGGTGCCCTCAAGAGGACACAGTTTCTTGCTTCTCTGAGCATGTACCACATCAAGAGCTTCTCCCTGTGCGTAAGGTCTCTTCTCTGTCTTTTCCCCAGCTACTGGTGGTTGAAAATCTTGCTGGATGTGTGCTAAGGTGATAAACTTGTTTATTTGCCTTTTCCTGGTATTGCTGTCCTGACAAACACAGGAAAATAGGATGCCCCCCACCCTGACAGAGCAACCTACACACTCCCGTGGAGTGTACATTTGCTTTCTTTACAAATATCTGCAAAATAGAGAGTGGCAAGGAGCTTCTTGAAATGGTTATGAATCATTGAGCACAACTGGCACCCACCCAGGCCCCCAGATGGGAGAAGAGGAGCTTTTTCTAAGCCCTTCCCACATTCTTGTGCAAATAGAAGGGATGAATGATCACCATCCGCAACGCCAGACAGTTTTCTGGGCCAAATTCATACACAAGTCTAAGAAAGCCAAGGGGAACTGAAACTGGTGTAGCTCTCCCTTCCTTCCGCTTCTTGCAATGACTATATTTCATATGTTCAAATCCTTCTGGGATTGCTTAGACTGACTTTGTATAATTATTTTCATCCTTGGATTAAACAGGCCAAATATGTAAGCTGGATCTCAGCTTGCTGAGATCTTATTTTACGTTGTATTTTGTCCCTCTGGCATGTACATTACACAGCAGCAGATTGGATTTAAGTAGTTTTTTCAGAATAAAAGTCTGTCTTTGCTTGAGGGTGTCAATTTTCTAGTAGTTCTGGCTGCACTGTCTTGTACGCATGCGTCAAAGGATGAGGGAAAAGTCCCAAACCAGGCATCTACCCACGCTGGCTCTTGGTGAACAGTGTCTGACACCCCTCCAGACTTAGAGCACGCACAGATTTCTCAGCCTAGAGGTTAGGGGGAAGGTGTGGCTGGGTGCAAAATCCTGTAACTGCAAACTCATTTCTACCAACTGTTCTTGTCTGCCATTGCTTGTGATCACTGACAAGATGCTCAGATCCATGGATGTACCTAAACCTGGGGGATATGCCTATTTTCAAATTAAATAGAGAATAGTGCTGGTTGAATTTAAAGACAATAGGATATGGAGGCTGTGGGACCACCAGGAAGGAACAGTGGCTTTGAAATCAGCTTTTAGTTGCCTTGTGAGATGCCAGTAGGTACAGGAAGAAGGGTGGGTTTTCAGTATATCATGCTATGGGTGGCCCTGAGTCCATCCTGCATGGAGTGGTACGGTATTTATGCGTTATGAAACATTCAGTGTGTTCCATCTGCCATCAGGTCGGGATCAACAGGTACAGTTAAAATGAAAAAACAATATTTTTGATGTGCACTACCTTTCTTAAACATTCAGTGTGTTCCATCTGCCATCAGGGTCAACAGGTACAGTTAAAATGAAAAACAATATTTTTGATGTGCACCACCTTTCTGTCTTCTGGCAAAGTGCTGCTTAAAAGCTTAAATCTTTCATGGTTGAAAATTATTTGCTGTGCAGCCAGAGACTTCCAGGCTTTGCAAGGAAATAACAATGGTTTTGAAATCTACAGCTGTGAGTTCTCTGTATATCGGTCTTTCTTAACTTTTGCTGTCAGCATCTGGGGTCTAAGATGGGAATTGTGTTGTTTGCCCATCACTGGAGACACCTTGCCTAGAGAAATCTTACTGTCCAATTTCTACATCTCCTATTAATACATGCTCAGTGTCATCCTCTAGGCTCTTCCCTATGAACGTGTGTGCTAGAGGATTTGTGAAATGCGTTTGTGTTGAGCAGAAAATGCACGAGGGATAAATCCTAGCTACACGCCTGAGAAAACTGCTTCCCAACAGACCCGTCTCTCCAAGATCTCCCTTCTCCTTGGAGAGGAGTAGTAAATTTCAGCTTCTTCTTTACTACTGGCATCTGTCTCCAAGAGCTCAGGAAGCTTCCACCCTGCTTTTTGTTCAGTCCAGGTCAAGATATGCTCTCCTTGAGCAAACCTTGACTAGGTCCAACCTGTACCTGAGCCTAATCCCAATCCCTCCAGCAGTATTGCAGTAAGGACTGCCCTAGTTTTTGCTGCTCTCTCCTCTCTCCAGCTCTACAATCTGCAGGATTGGTCCCAAGGAAGGGTTGATGTGCTGCCAACCCTTCCTGCCCCAAGAGGTGGATGTTCCCAGTATGGACATGTTCTGTCCAGAAATAGAATTTTTACGAGGGAACAAACAGGGCCACTGAACTAAGGTAGTTAAGAAGACCTTGCAGTGATTGGGAAGGTAGGGCTGCTTTAGGCTCCTGTCTGTCTCATGTTGACTTTATCGGGAGCACATACTCAATGGTCTCACCATCCTGGCTCTGGCGCTGTTCTCCTGCTCTGCCTATTGCCTGGACAGTCTGGTCTTCATAAAGTGACTGTTTCTTAAAATTCATGGGCAGTCTTGCTGGTAAGGCTTTAGGTAACTTCTGGCAGGATTACTTTTTCCTTTTTGCCGATCACTGGATGATGACTGTGGGCCTTGAGCTGATTCCCAAACCTGTTCTGCTTCGTAGGCACCCCAAGGGCTGTTCTGCAGCCCTGCTCTGTTATAACTTGTTCCCTTCTTAAGAGTCAAAAGCTCCCCCAGATTAAAAAAGTGTCAACTAGGAAAATGAAAGATTAATGCTGCACCTGAAACTATTCTCCTTTCCAAGCTGTCCCTTAAGGTCTCACTAAGGCTTTTTTTCTGACTAGTTACCCAGGACCAGTTCATCTGTGCCCTGGCTCCTCTGTCTCACAACCCCTGGTCCTTCTGTCTCCAAGTTTACTGGAAAGTTACGTGAGTGCTACAGAGAGCAAATAAATCTTCAAAGCTGTTGCTGGCTTCTGCGCTCTCCCTGCTTCCTCCAAATCAGCGAGGGGAATTAGATTTGCAGCTTGGTTGAGATTTAGGCATTTGCGAGGCTGTAAATAAAACATTGTTCAAACTTGTCTACAATATCCACAGTCGTCTGGATGTGCTGATTTTGCACTAGGCTCACCCGGCTGTTTAAAAGTGAGTTGACTGCCCTGTCTCATCCCTTCCTGGATAGCATGACTCACGTTAGAAACCTCCTCATGGGTTTCTAATAACTTTATTATGGGGTGTGCACATGCAACATTTTTTTGATGGTCTCAGAGTTTGTGAGATGTGGCTAGCTTTTCACAGAGACCACACATGATATGATAATAAAAAGCAACTAACTGGGCATTTGGGATGTTTCTCTCCTCCTTTCTTTTGCCAGTTTTAAAATTTCAGGTTGTTGCTTGGGGTCTTCCCACTACCTCCAAGGGCTTCTTGTTTTCTGTGGTGCATGATCAGTTTGGAATTGGTGATGATAATAGGTCCTTCATTTCTCTCTAAAGGATCTTTAAGGAAGGAATAAAGTTCAAAATCCAGGAGAGCAAGTTCATTATTTTCCCTAGAGAAAAAAAATCCATTTCTCTTTGAGTGAGAATTTTATATCTGACTGTAAGCCGTGTTTCATTGGCTTTTCCCTATTGAAATTTCACTGTTTGGGAGAGGGGTGAGAGCTCCTTTTCAGTAAGGAGTAAGAGGGTACTTGGGAAAGAAGACTCTGTAGCCTTGTCTACTGTAATTCTTTGGTGATTCGTTGGTAAAATGGACTAAAGAAAGCATGTAAAGTGGGGAAAGAATAGTTCTAGGCCACAACATCGTGGATGTGTTTCCAGAATTAGTCTTGGAGTTCAAAATGCTGAAAGCAAGGCGAGCAGAAAGCTGTCTCTGAAGGGATCATGCTGGTAACACTGAGCACCTAGTGTGAGGAGCTCAGTCTCTCCAACTCCCTCCTGCAGCTCAGCAGGAGGCAAGATGGTGATGTTCATGTTTCTTACCAAACTCCTCCAATGAAAAAGGATCATAAAAGAGAGAGAATGAGAAACTCTCTAAACCCAGCTTAACTGAAGATGAGAGGAGGAGGGAACATGAGACATTCAGATCAAATCTGGTTAATTGTTGTTGTAGTATTGTTGTTTCTATGTGCTAGGCAAAATCTGCTCTGCCATCTTATCCCCACGTTCCTGCACCTCCCTCTGCCATCAGCGAGAGCCGAGAGGCACCTGGGGAAGCAGATCTGGTGAACAAAGTCTCTCCCAGGGCGCATGTCCCGTTGTTACTCATGCCTTTCTCAGGGCTGAAGGACAAACATTGTTGTTAATGAGCTAAATTATTAGCCCCTGTGGCTGTACTTAGTTCTAGAGAACTAGAGACCTACACCCAGTGAGGCCCGTTTTCCACACAGCATGAATCACTTGCTCGTCTTTTGCGCTCACTAGTTTCACATTTTAATTTTCCATTCCTCTGGCTTTCCTCATGCGGATGAATAATGGGCCATTTATAATACATCAACAATATCAGAGCACACGATTATGGCTTCAGCCCGTGTAATCCCTCCAGACAGTTCGCAGAGCACAAGCGCCTGTCGTGCAAAGCCACATCCCATTTCCACAAAGCAAACCAAAGGGGATGCCAGCCTGGCAGCTTCTGCCCTCCACCACTCGAAATAGCTCTCAGGAGCTGAGTCATGAAGCGGAGCCCAGAATAACCGGCGATTCCTTTAACCCGGGGACAATAATCAGCTGTGCTAACAATTACAGATGGAAATGGGCTTCAGGCAGTAGTTTATCATAAGACACGCTGAACCCTTCCATTGCTGTAAATACACGCCTGGGTAAACTTTCTTTGAATCCAACTGAATAAGGCTGTGTAATTGAGCTTTATTCTGAGCCTGCCCCGGCTGCGTGGAGCTGCTGAGAACTCTGGTGGGTCATTGCAGAGGGTCCTTGGCAGCCCCGAGGGCTGAGCCCACACCGTTTTCTCACAGCTCTGCAGGACCTGTGCTGCCCACGGGCACATTCAGCATCCTTATCTTTCATGGATACTGTTTTTTCA